TCTGTAAAGTCTGAATTCTTTGTTGTGTGTAGCCGCTGGAATCTCTCTTGGTTATCTCAGTGGGAAGTTCATGAGTGAGCTGAGATTTCCTTAGATACCTGGGACCAGTAGGTCTCCCAGCTTTCTCCGAAGCACAGAGCCTCAAGCTTACCAGAGGTGAGATCTTGGGGCCTTCTAGGGCTTTGCTGAGCACGTGCACGTGTCTGGGCACGTGTGTAACTTTCTAGATCCCCACAGTGTATCAGAGCTTTGCCAAGCCTGCCATGAACTTCTCATTCCCCAGTTTTTCCTTTTAAGCTTTCCAGTTAGCCTGTGTGTGCAGCTATTACCCACTGCAGCAAGGATCCGTGGTGTCTAACAGCCTCTGATTGCCTTTGGTAATCATCCCCAGAAAAAAAGGTTGTTTTGAAGCTGAGCTCCAAGTAAAGGCAAAGAAAGCCAAGCCCATGAGTGGGGTATTCCAGGGAATTGCCAGACCTGGCGGATGAGGGCAGTTCTCTGGGAGCTGGGCTTTCAAGGAACTCCAACCCCATTGTGCACCTGTGGTGGCTGCCAGGCTGCCCATTGTCCCCATGATTGTGGAGTGTTTGTTTGCACACCAGCGGACACAGCTGGGGAGGTCTGGGAGAAGAGAGCAAATTAAAATCCACAAAGCTTGCTGCTTTTTGAGAGCCCAGTGCTTTTCTTGACTAAATGCTCCTCATGTTGCTACAAGTCTTTGAGTAATTTCCAGAGTTCTGAATAAGGTGATTTTGAGGGTTTTTGTTAGCACTTTTATTGGTCCTCTGGAGGAGAGACTGTTCAGAGGCCTTTACTGCGTCAATTTTGCTGACATCACTGGCCCTGTGGAGGACCTTTTTAGCGAGGCTTTTAAGAGATGACAGTTGAACTCACTGACTTCCTTGGGCCCTTACCATTCCTGAACATTCAATATAATCTCATTTCAAACCATCCTAGATGATGCAATTTCTTGTACTTAAAAAATATGATTGTTTAAAATAAATTTGAAACAGATTTTGCATGATGCCAAAATAGGAGGCATGGTAGACTCTACTTAGTTATCCATTTCTGCTTTGTTGCAGTCACAGATTTTGAAAAGAAATAATATCATTTTTGCAGTTTCTCAATTTAAAATGAATTAATCTAAAGGAGTGTGAGATCTTATGCCAACTAAAAAAAAGAAATGTGCAGGTAAAATTTAAGCCCCAGAAACTGTTGAAGAGGTAAGAGTGAAATGATCATTGACTGATAGTGTCTCACAGGATGCATCATCAAATGTGTATTTCTTGATAGCTTTGTCTTTCTGTAACGTGTTGTTTTTAACTATAGTACCATCTGTAAATCAAATCTCCAAGGGCTGATTCTTTCTGTCTAATTGGAATTTTCTATTCTTGAGTAGTTTACTCCTAGTTCTGAAATGTATTGTAATTGTTATTACCAAAATATTTGTATGTCTGTGCTCATTCTTTCTTTATTCATTAAAGATACTCCTCTGTAGTAGTAAGTACTGAGAACATAGGTGAGGAATCAGCTAAACATAATGCAAGATGGTTGTCAATCAGTTTCTTGAAAGGTATGAGGATATGGTGCCACTTTACCTAACAATGGTGTTAAAAAAAGAGTCCGGGTAAATTAATATTCCAGATGTCTAAAGTCAAGCCTTCTCAACTATTTTTGGGGTAACTATTTCCAAACTATGTCAAATACTTCTCTGCTTAGCAAGGAGGCTAGTAATCTAATGCCTCAGTACCACATAATCATTCTGGATAGTTAGTCATTATCCTGACAAACAGGGATGCCCACATGGTTCTGGTAGTCAAGGGGCGTTGCTTTAGTACCCACTGGGGACACAATGCTTTGCTTTTAGTGTTTTCACACTCTTACAAAGCCATAGTTTTCCACTAATATATGTTGGCCACAGATTTCTCTCTACATTAAAAAAAAAGATTTACTTGTTTATTTGAAAGGAAGAGAGAGAGAGAAAGAGAGAATGAATTCCATTGCTTTCCCAGGCATAATAGCAGGGAGCTGAATCAGAAGTGGAGCAGCGCAGACTTGAACTGGCACTCATATGGGATGTTGACATTACAGGTGGCAGCTTAACTCACTGCACCACAATGCCAGCTCCTCTCCATACATTTTTTTTTTTTATTTTGACAGGCAGAGTGGACAGTGAGAGAGAGAGAGAGAGAGAGAGAGAGACAGAGAGAAAGGCCTTCCTTTTCCGTTGGTTCACCCCGCAATGGCCACTGCGGCCAGCGCGCTGCGGCCAGTGCACTGCGCTGATCCGAAGCCAGGAGCCAGGTGCTTCTCCTGGTCTCTCTTGCAGGTGCAGGGCCCAAGGACTTGGGCCATCCTCCACTGCACTCCCAGGCCACAGCAGAGAGCTGGACTGGAAGAGGAGCAACCAGGACAGAAGGGACTAGAACCTGGGGTGCTGGCGCCGCAGGCGGAGGATTAGCCTATTGAGCCGTGGCGCCGGCTCTATACATTTTTTAATGAGAGTATTTAAACCTGTGGACTGACACATAAGTTAAGAGCTAGCACCTACTGGGCTCTTACCATGCACTAGACATCATTCTAAGTGTTGAAATGTGTTTATTCATTTAATTCTCCTAATATCCCAAGTATAACATTATTAACTGTGTTTTCAGATGAGAAAACTGATGGACAGAGAGATTAAATAATTTTCTCAAAATCACATGGTTTGTAAGCAGCAGAGCTAGGGTTTGAATCCAGATTGTTGGTCCTGTTCATGACAACAGTGATATTTTACCGTGTCATATAAAGATGCTTGTTAGAGTTACATGTAAACAGACATGAGGGGGTTTTCTAGGATATCTGAGTGAATGTTTTTTCTTTGAAAAATACCTGAACTTTAGTGAACATTCTATTTTGGTTTCCTGCAGAATGTATTGTATATTTCTTTTCAAAAAGATAAGGTGGCCAGAGAAGCGACCTTATTAAACCAATGTTCTGTATTATTAAATCACAAATATTTTAATTTTACTTTAGATGAAAGTGAAAGCTTTAAAATCAAGTTCTTGTTTGGAGATCATTTTCCATGGATGTATTGCTTTTCTGCATGTCTTGTGAACAGAGGCACTGGCTGTGTGTTTGTTCTGGACTATCTTTGCAAGCATGCATGGATAGAACATAGCCTTGCCGATAGAGTGTCCGTCTTCATAGAAAAGAGGTTTACGGGGCGGGAGCTGTGGTGCACTAGGTTAATCCTCTGCCGCCGGCATCCCATATGGGCGCCGGTTCTACCCGCTGGCGGTTGCACCTCTTCCAGTCCAGCTCTCTGCTGTGACCCAGGAAGGCAGTGGAGGATGGCCCAAGTGCTTGGGCCCTTGCATCCACATGGGAGACCAGGAAGAAGTACCTGGCTCCTGGCTCCTGGCTTCAGATCTGCGCAGCTCCGGCCGTTGCGGCCATTTGGAGAGTGAACCAACAGAAGGAAGACTTTTCTCTCTGTCTCTCTCTCTCTCACTGTCTGTAACTCTACCTCTCAAATAAATAATAAAAATAAAAATCTAAAAAAAAAAAAAAAGAGAAGGTTTATATCTTGTCCTATGTAGTCTCCACAGTCAAGGACAGTTATGCTTACTACCCATTATGAAAGATTAGGATTCCCTAAGCTTGGGTTCCTCTTCCATAATACTCCCCACTGTACATGCAGGCATCATCTAACCTTCTTCACATATTATGGCAATGGCCATGGCTTTGATTAATAATGAACTTCTTTGTCTCTGTCTTCTGTCAGTATCCATGAAACAGTAGCAGGATAATTTGTTAAGTTACAAGTAGAATAAAATCTCAAATCTTCAAAGTTATAGATAATGCTCATAACCATAAAATATGGCCCTAGATTTTCACTTTAACTTAGAATCCTATTCCCTTTAGAAGAGTGAGTTATCATTTATTGGGGGTTCACCAGAATAAAGGCAGGTAGCATATCCTGTAGTTACCTGAGAAGGTAACTATAACAGTTGTGAGCCCCATCTACCCCTTTTTCTGTGTTCCTCTTCCCCCCATTTTTCCATGTCATAATTTCTCTTTCTCCTACTTTTCCCTTCCTCTCCTCTTTAGTCAGAGGTCTCTTTTGCATCTGCCTTAGGCCATCCTTAGACTTTGTCCTTAACATTAAATGCAAACAAAAAACTTGACAAACTTTTATAAGGCTGGTATCTCTAGCCTATAGGGAAGCTGAAGTTACGTTTCAGACTTTTTCCTGGTACAGCTAGAAGTTGGGTCATGGAAATAATTGTCCCACATGTATTTCTCCTTTAGGCAATGGGCAGCAGCCTCTCTCTCTCTCTCTGTCTCTCTCTCTTTCTCCCCCACCCTTGTGTGTGTGTGTGTGTGTGTGTGTGTGTAGGGGTATATGTTGATTTCCACCTAGCAGCAGACTTGGGAAACTCCAATGAGCTGTCATCCAATGGTGAACACACATAATAAAACATTGCTTAAAAAAATTTGGTCAGTCTAGATCACAAGTCAGCAATCTATGGCCTGTAGGCCAAATCTGGTATAGTGCCTTTTTTTGTGTGTAAAGTTTCACTGGAACACAGCCACACCCATTCATTTTCGTATCATCTATGGCTGCTCTTCTGTTACAATACAGAGCTGTGTAGTTGCAATGGAGAGTGCATGGCCTGCAAAGCCTTAAAGATTCATTATCTGGCTCTTACTAAAAAGCTTTGCCAACCCCTGTTCTAGATGTTGGGTTTTATACCAGTTGGTTACAATTTCAGATCTCAGGAAAAACAAATGGAGTGAGTTCTTTAGAATCAGCTAGCCAACCTTCATAAGAGATATACACTTCCCTCTTTCTTCCATCTTCACATGGGCTTTCTCTTTTGAGGGTCACTGTCTTAAACTTTCTTATTCAAATTGTTTGATCCTATTAGCATATATAGATGATTTGTTTCTACTTAATATTTTTGACCCTAAGTAACATATCCGAAATAATACTGATTGTGTTATTTTTCTTACAGGGCTGTGGGAAGAAAATGTATTCCTTTTTGAGAGGAACCAAACAACTGCAGGTGCTCAGGTTTCTGGGAATCTCAATTGGAGTGACACAAATCCTGGCCATGATTCTCACCATTACTCTGCTCTGGGCTCTGTATTATGATAGGAGGGAGCCTGGGACAGACCAAATGATGTCCCTGAAGAATGATACCTCCCAGCACCTGTCATGCCACTCAGTGGAACTGTTGAAACCAAGCCTGTCCAGAATTTTTGAACATACATCCATGGCAAACAGCTTTAATACACACTTTGAGATGGAGGAGTTATGAAGACTATCAAAGGAGGAAACCACAGATGTGTTTTATTGGATCTGAGAATTTTTAAGCACATCGTTATATGCTTCAGAAATTTGTAGAAGTAAAGATGTTGTCATAAAAGAATGCCTAGGCATATAATGTTCTACACTTTGCTAAGAAGAGGGGACAGTTTCATACTGGAGGTGACCACTAGTTCATGATGGATGCCCGTTATAATGCTGAAGACAGATCAGATACCCTGATAACACTCTGTAGCACATGTAAGATTATTACTGAACATAGTTGTTTTGAGGTGATGTGATTTGTTCAGCATTTCTGCATCCATGTAAGTGGCCACATAGCTGGGATTGGAGCTACAAAGTGGATTTACTTCTGCAAGCTAGTATGTAAAGTACCAATTCCCTGCTAACATAGGAAGTTAGTACTAATGACTTTTATTACTTGGTGGTGTATTCCTTTGAGGGTGAATAGGTTATCCATAGACTTTCAAAATTGATGACTACCTGAATGTGACTTTTGCTGGTTACTAAAATATTCTTACCACTTACATTAGCAAGCTAACACGTTGTCTTAAACTGATCAGGGATCTATGTGTATATAAGGCTGTGCTGTCTGTATAATTCAGTAGCTTTCAGTTCTTCTAATGTTAAGAATAACAATTGTGAAAAGGATAAATTTGTCCTGTATAGCAACATTATTTTTAGCTTTTCCTGTTAATAGAGCTTTAAAATTCTGTCTTGGGTTTATATTACATACATAACTATTAATTTAAATGCTTAACCACTAATTTTAAAAATTACCAGTGTGATAAATAGGAATCATTATAATTCAGAGTACAGTCTGGTCTCTGGGAAGTATTAAAAAATTTACACGTAACTTGGTTGGTTTAGCAAAGACTTGGATGCTATTTTTCTCTAAGATTAAGGCTCTTTTTAATACTAAACACTTCTGAAAAGAGCTTATTTTTGTCTTCTCCAAACAAGAAGCAAAAGTCTCCAAGTCTTTATAATTCTACAGAAAATAATGTTGTTCTACAGAAAAATACTTGTGAGAATCATAAAAATAAGTGACGATTTACCTAGATATTATGTTTGCTTTATTTCACTGATTAATATACTGTGCTGAATTACACAGATTTTTAAATTTTTACAAGAGTAAAATATATTTATTTGAATGGGAAATGTGCATTTTACTGTATTTTTTGTATAATGTTTATTTCTCAGAGTATGGGAAAGAAAATTAAAACAAGTACCAATAAATATTTTCTAGAGAGTAATAATCTGTGTCTATTTTTAAACACTACAAGCACTTTTACCACTGGAGAGCATTAGCAAGAAGAGAAAACTGTGAGAAGGAGTGAATGAAAACAACATCAACAATTTCCAAATCAGGACTTAATCAGTAAGAATATATGTCTGCACTGAGGAGAGACACAAAGTGCCCTTTGACTTTTCAAGTTTGCTTTTGACCTAAATGATAAATAATCTGGTTTAATGTAACAGAAATATGCTTCTTGTGTTCATTTATTTTCTCAAAGTTTTATATCCCAGTTTTTATAGCTATTAATTTTTAAAAGAAAACTAATCTGTGGAATACAATTCACTGCCGAAATTAACTGCGGGACTTAGAATCTTTCATACATTTAAATGAAAACTGAGTAAATTAGTTGCTGAATCAGAACCTTAACCATTCCTTTTCACAGTTCCCTCACCGCCCCAATACCCCATAATTTCACCTAAAATACCCAAGTAACGGAGACAGCTGTGAATTTAATTAGAATAATTACTTGGATAATGGTCTGATTTGACTGTTTCTGTTTTGATGAATCTCAGAGTCACAGGAAGAAGAAATATATTTTATATTGAGCTCAGTAAAAAAGTCCTCAAATTATAAAATAAAAGTTTATTTCTACGTTTTTAGGCTTTAGATATTTTGATATATTACCTGATTTACTGCCTTCTGTAAGAGTCAACATAAATTTAGACAATCATCTTATATATAATAGATGTGCTTCATGGGAGCAAGCGACATTTACAGCAGTGGGGTCCACAAAGGCCTCTTATGGCACCAGCGCACCTGGAATAATAAAACTGCAAGGAACTTCAAGAAGTGTAGTTAATGCTGTCGAGCTGAGGGAGTTCACTGTTTGGGTACATTGCAAACAAAATTGTTAACTGTTTCTCTGGGAACTTTTAAAAGCTTTCTTTGGTAAAAATCACCATTTTTTTAGGGAAAATTTTAAGATTATTTTTGGACTGGTTAGCAGTCAATTCGGAGTGCCCTGGAGACTCAGAGATGGCAGTATGAGATAATGTCTGTCCTTAAGCACTGTAAAATCTGCATTAGAGACACTAATGCTAACCACACAAAAAAGAAATACAGGAACATGCAGTGGGTAGAGGGCCAGGCTTAGGAATGAGAGACAGGGAAGCCTGGAATCAAGGCAGCAACACCAAGGCGATGGCCTGCGAGCTGGATCAGGAGGACTCATTCTTGAACATTGTACAAATCACAGCTCTGAAGTTCAACAAGTGCACCTTATTTGGGTGGCCTGGCCTGTGGCTTAGTCTGGGTAGAAAGCACATAGCTTGTGTGCAGAATCAACATGGGATAGCACATGAGTGAAGTTTAGGTTTGGCGACTTCATTCTTTCAGGGTCAGTGGAGAGCGGCTGAAGTGTTTGCAGCAGGTGAAGTAGTGTGCGTTTCAGAAGTTTACTAACTTAGCTGGATGAGAAAGTGCAGACAAGGAGACAGGCACGGTTACACAGTTCCCCAAGGTGGGCCATCATTTGCCGTCGTCTAGGTAAATGGTGAATCTGGAGTTGTACAACACCAAGACTGGACGGATTGCTACTGCTGTGGTCCTGCAGAGAAAGATCCTCACCAGGGGTGAGTTTTGTGGTAAGCTGCTGAATCGGATGCCTGCATCTCCGAGTGACTGGGATTGAGTCCCACCTCTAATTCCAGTCCAATTTCCTGCTAATGCATACCCTAGGAGGCAGCAGAAGATGGCCTAGTGCTTGGGCCCTTGCCACCCCCGTGGGAGACCTCGAGGGAGTTCCTGGCTCCTTTCTTCAGCCTTGCCCAGCCTGTGCTGTTGCTAGCTTTTATGGAGTGAACCAGCAGATGGAAGATCTCTCACTCTCTGGCTCTCCCTCTCTCTTTGTTGCTCTTCCTTTCAAATAAATTAATAAAACTTAAGGGGTGGGGGTGGGGGGGGAAGATCCTCATCAGGACAACAGAAGCCAAACAAAAACCAAAAAAACAAGCTGCAACAACAACAAAAGCCCAGGATGCTTGAAACACATTACAGGCCGGCGCCGCGGCTCACTAGGCTAATCCTCTGCCTTGCGGCGCCGGCACACCGGGTTCTAGTCCCGATCGGGGCGCCGGATTCTGTCCTGGTTGCCCCTCTTCCAGGCCAGCTCTCTGCTGTGGCCAGGGAGTGCAGTGGAGGATGGCCCAAGCGCTTGGGCCCTGCACCCCATGGGAGACCAGGAGAAGCACCTGGCTCCTGCCATCGGATCAGCGCGGTGCGCCGGCCGCAGAGCGCCAGCCGCGGCGGCCATTGGAGGGTGAACCAACAGCGAAGGAAGACCTTTCTCTCTGTCTCTCTCTCTCTCACTGTCCACTCTGCCTGTCAAAAACAAAACAAAAAAAAACCACATTACAACAGGGGGACTCCACCAAAATGGGCAGCACATTGACCTTGGAGAGTGCAGAAAAAAAGCAAAAGAATTGAAACTTCTAAATGTGTAGCTGGTGAACTGACAGTGGTAGGAACCTCAGTGGAAGACCGGAGGGGAACGAGTGTGTGGGAGGTTGATTAATCTGGTGTGGACACAGGGGTCGGAGATGCCTGCAGGACACGCAGATGGAGATGTCTACAGGCAGCTGTAAATTCCAGTCCGGAGCTCAGGAGAATTCGTGTGGAGCCTGAAAATCATTATGCATTGCTTTCCCATCTCAGGAAGCCTGACAGAAAATGGGCTGAGAATCAAGTCTGATCGGAGGAGACTCTTCAGCCGGATGTTGGAAGGGCTTCTCTTTGTCTGAACTCCCACTCCCAGGGGTGAGTCATGGGAGCTAAAGAGATGAGAGGTGATACACCACTGAGTCTCCTGTAGCAAAAGGGGACGCCTCCTGTCTGAAGGTGCTGCCCACTGCCGCTGCACCCAGTGCCCCTGCTTACGATCATCTTGTGACTTACGGGTGGATTCACCTGTCCTGTGAACTGAGTTCTTCACTTCCTCACATCCAAGCACATCCCGGACACACGTATGTGAGAATCTTGGGTAGCCTCTTGAAAGCTCATTTCTGTTCTATTTTAATAGCCATTATTCTTTTTTTTTTTTTTTTTTGGCCAGGCAGTTAGACAGTGAGAGAGACAGAGAGAGAGTTATAGACAGTGAGAGAGAGAGAGAGAGACAGAGAGAAAGGTCTTATTTCTGTTGGTTCACCCCCGAAATGGTCGCCACAGCCAGCGTGCTGTGCCGATCTGAAGCCAGGAGCCAGGTGCTTCTCCTGGTCTCCCATGCGGGTGCAGGGCCCAAACACCTGGGCCATCCTCCACTGCCTTCCTGGGCCACAGTGGAGAGCTGGACTGGAAGAGGAGCAACCGGGACAGAATCTGGCGCCCCAACTGGGACTAGAACCTGGGGTGCCGGCGCTGCAGGCAGAGGATTAGCCAAGTGAGCCATGGCGCTGGCCTCGCCATCATTCTTCATCTCCCTTTCGTGGGTGCCCACCAGGTACCAGGCACGTGGTGCGAGGTGCTTCATGCAAGGTTTCTCTGCTCTTTACGGTTCTTTGGCAATTTGCAGAGATCATTAGCCCCATTTTACAAATGCAGGGAACAGGAGAGGGAGGAGGAAGAAGGGTTAAAGCATGGGTGAGTGGGAGGTTAGGTGTGTTCCTAAATCTGTGTATATAAAATACATGAAACTTGTATACCTCAAATAAAATTAAAAACAAATGCAGGGATTCTCAGGGATTGAGTAAATTCATTTTCTGTTTCCTCCCTCTCCACTTTGGGATACAGCAGCTTCCTCAGCCTGAGGTGAGATTCCATAGACAAGCCAGATTCTCCTACATGTGAGTCAATATCTCCAGGCCTGATTGGTCTCCAAATTCTATTACTTCTATAATTTCATCGCCTCCCACTGTTCTCCCCAGAACAAATCCAAATTATCTAAAGCTTTGATGGAAGGCATAAATTATTCTTTTCTCCTTACCTCTTGCCTCCTGTTGATCTATCGTGTGCACACACACACAGAACCAAATTAATTTCCTTCATCAAACTTTATTGAGGTGTAAAATGTAATGTATGTTTGCATATAATAAATACACCTATTCTAAGTATTCAGTTAATCAGTTTTGATATATATTTGTACTCATGTAACCACAACCACAATCAAAACATAGAACATTTCTTTTTTTTTTTAAACTTTTATTTAATGCATATAAATTTCCAAAGTACGACTCATGGGTTACAATGGCTTCCCCCCCATACCGTCCCTCCCACCCACAACCCTCCCCTTTCCCACTCCCTCTCCCCTTCCATTCACATCAAGATTCATTTTCGATTATCTTAATATACAGAAGATCAGCTTAGTATACATTAAGTATGGATTTCAACAGTTTGCTCCCACACAGAAACATAAAGTGAAAAATAATAGATGATTTTTTTAAATGATGATGAAATCAGAGCAGACCTATTGTCATGTTTAATCCCAGTGAGAGTCAAGTTGGGAATTGATAATTTCTTTCTTTCTTTTTTTTTTTTTTTTACAGAGGATCAGTTTAGTATGCATTAAGTAAGGATTTCAACAGTTTGCACCCCCATAGAAACACAAAGTGAAATATATTGTTTGAGTACTCGTTATAGCATTAAATCTCAATGTACAGCACATTAAGGATAGAGATCCTACATGAGGAGTAAGTGCACAGTGACTCCTGTTGTTGACTTTACCAATTGACACTCCTGTCTATGGCATCAGTAATCTCCCTATGCTCCAGTCATGAGTTTCCAAGGCTATGGAAGCCCTCTGAGTTCTCCGACTCTTATCTTGTTTAGACAAGGTCATAGTCAAAGTGGAGGTTCTCTCCTCCCTTCAGAGAAAGGTACCTCCTTCTTTGATGGCCTGTTCTTTCCACTGGGATCTCACTCGCAGAGATCTTTTGCCAGAGTGTCTTGGCTTTCCATGCCTGAAATACTCTCATGAGCTTTTCAGCCAGCTCCGAATGCCTTTAGGGCTGATTCTGAGGCCAGAGTGCTATTTAGGACATCTGCCATTCTATGAGTCTGCTGAGTATCTCACTTCCCATGTTGGATCACTCTCCCCTTTATTTACTCCATCAGTTAGCGTTAGCAGGTACTAGACTTGTCTATGTGCTCCCTTTGACTCCCAGTCCCTTCACCATGACCAACTGTGAACTGAAACTGATCACCTGGAACAATGAGATGGCATTGGTACATGCCA